AGGGCTGAGGTAAAGACAGTTTAATAAGAGAAAATGAAAATAATAGTAATAATGAGAATGATAACAGAATATACAAAATGAATGATGCACAGTGCAATTGCTCACCACCCGCTGACTGGTGCCCATCCCGTCCCGAGCCGCGATCACTCCCCCCGAGCTGCGATCACACAGCCCGAGCTGCGACCACTCTGCCCGCGACTGACCGACCGACTAACCCCCCCGAGCATGACGTTATATGGTATGGAATAGCCCTTTGGTCAGTTTGGGTTAGCTGTGCTAGCTGTGCTGTACTCCCAGCTTGTTATGCACCTGGGCAAGCAGAAGAAGCTCAAAAAGTCCTTGAGTAGTCTGAGCACTACTTGGCAACAGCTGAAAACATCAGTGTGTTATCAACATTCTTCTGGTACTAAATCCAAAACACAGCACTATGCTAGCTACTATGAAGAAAATTAACTCTATCCCAGCTGAAACCAGGACACCTTCTTACGATTTTTTTTTTTTGCTTGCTTGCTTTCTAGCTGTGAAATAATTTCCAACAGGATTGCAGTCAGCTTCAAATAAATGGTGCTTTTCTTACACCAACTTGCTGGAAAAGCATGACAAAACCTTAATGGGGGCAATATGTGACTACAGTAAAAAATATGAGACTGTGGTTTCCTGAAGCTGCAGGCATTTAAAAGGCTTTGATCCCTTTTTAAATATGCAAACATAAAAAAGTAGCAGTTTAGCCCAGTGAGGAAAAGAGTTTTATACTGCTCAAAATAGTTTTAATAGTTGATAATCATAATATTTCCCTGCAGCATGTAATAAAACAGACCTTTTCCAGTCATCTTATTTTTTGATTTTTCCAAGAAATTAGAAATTCTTAGTATTACTACTCTTGTAATTTTTATATATCTAGTGACATCATTTTGAGTAAATTTTATTGGGTTTTGGTGTTACGAGAAGAGGTAATAAGTATTCAAGTTCAGAAGCAAATAGACAACTTTCAAACTCTAAAATCGGCTGCTGAATGCTTAATGCTTTGGGGGATGTTTTGGGGCTTTGTTGTTAGTTTTGGTGGGTATCTGGTTTGGGGGAGTTTTTTGTTTGATTTGGGGGGTTGGTTGGATGTGGGGTGTTTGGTGGCTGATGGTTTTTTTGTTTCACGGTAATTGACAGTAGATAGAGCATGAACAATCCCTTACCCATTTAAGGAAATCAAGTTCAACCTGTACTGCTCCAGCTGTTTGAACTTTTAGTCTAGAATGTCCTACTGGTGACAGAGCCAGTGCAAAATCTAACCGTAAAGTCCCCTAAATTAATTGCTTTAATGGTCTCGTGTCTTAATTCTAGGTGGATTTTTGTGTCTTAATGTTTTTCAGTGATATTTATTTTGGGGAGAATAAATGCTGTAGCAAATAAGACAGTTGAAGTTAAGATGAATCTTTCATAAGATTTGTGTGCCTGGCACATAAACGTATTTTATATGTTCAGGATGAAAATGGAGTAAACCGTCCAGTATGTTCATATATCAGACCACTTCGAGCAGGCCGGTTATTAGATGCTCCTAGACAAGCAGCACGATTTGTCAGTGTCCTGGGTTACGAAAGAGCTCCTGTCATTGGAGGTGGCAGTGGCAAACAAGAACAGTGGTGCACCCTGCTTGCTTTTTTATGTCGAAACAAGGTATGTTAAAATGGTCTTTGTGTGACACAATAGAGTTGGTATCATATTTTAACTGAAGTCAGTAATTTAAAACAGGGCTTCAAATGCATGGGTTAAATCAAACCTGGAGAATTCTGTTACAGTAACTTGTTTTAAGACCTTTTTAAAGAGAAGCATGTTAAATAGTAGAGCAGACTTTCTTTACTGCTATTATTGGGGTCCATTTGTCAATAAATCTGTTTGTTTGACAATGAGCTTCCTTTTCTTCATTTGCTTTTCTAAGATGCCATATAATTACTCACTGAATCCCTGCTAGTGTGCAGGCCACTAATTTAAACTCTGGACTAATTCATGAAGAGTTGGAAAAGCTCTTTTGAAAAACTGACTGATTTAGATGGGCTAAAATATACTTACAGTCTTTGCATTTATTTTTTGCAAGATAGGGATTGTCACTAAAAGTTTCAGCCTAGTTCTTAGTGATGTGGCACTTGTATCATATGGCTATAACAAATGAAACAAATTGTGACTCATTCTGGATTATAGCTTTTCTGTTGTATGAGTAAAAGTAACAGCGATCCCTTTTAATACCTCTTCAGAGGGTTGATGCTTTCCATGGCCACTGAGATACTTCTGCGTTCAAAACCAATCTCACTGATGTGTTTATATTAAAAAGATCTGTTCTTCTTGGCAGCAGGAGCTGCATCCCAATTTTTAGACCTGTCTCAAAGACCACACAGAACACACATGAGCTGCTGTCTCTGAATATCGCATCATGCATAGGTACCATGTAAAGACATCGCTGGCTACCCACTGGATTTCATATGGAGGTGGTGATGGCAACTTTGAGGGCCATTCTGCTTGGAGGCACAGAGAAAGGGTTTTCTTCAAGGCAGAAGTGGAAAACTTTATAGAAAATAGCTGAATTTAGCCCCTGAGACACCAGCTGGACTGTTACTAATTTTTTTGTGGAAAG